ATATTATCAATCCCAAGGGAAGGGAAGTAGTTGAGTTTTTTGCTGCAGCTTCTATTCATTAGAGAAGCACAGCCTCATAATCCATAACATGCTGTTGCTAGGAAACTGGAGAGCCTTAGTATACTGCCAGATGAATTAGTGCAAAAAGAGAGGTCAAGAAAGAGAGAAATTAAGTAACCCTTACTTGGTCTCCTCAGGATTATGAAGTGGCTGTTCACTTACTCTGAAATTAGAACTTCATATTGAAGGAACTGGAGGCAAAAGATTCCTGCATTGCAGGGGGCTGGACCAGATGACCCTTGTGCTCCCCTCCAACTGTACAATTATATTATTCTTTGTCTGTGTGGGGAGTAAAATGGGGCTTCTCAGTCTCCTACAAGATATACAGACACCAACAGGGCCTGCCCAAGGCATTTTGTTACCTGAGGAAAAGGACAAGATGGTGTCTCCCACCACCATTCCACAAAAGAAGCTAACCAGACTGGCAACTGAACTTCAACAGTGGCAATGTTGATGGGAAGCAGGCTAGCTTGGAGGGCACAGGGCTGGCTGTATGCCACACACAACTTTGTCCTCCTCTAACAGAGGGGAACGCCCAAAAAGAATGGCAGGGCGTGGTGGCAGCAAACACAGGCACTCCACCGTCATCTGCTTGAGGCAGCTGCCTAACTCTGCCTAATGGTAGGGCTGGCCCTGGACACCAAGGAGAAGTTAAGAGACAGAGCTGATGAAGAGCGATTTGGTGTCAGCTGAAACCCCCAGAATATGCTCACATCTATATTTGAATTCTGTTCTGTCTGCGGTGATTACAGGAGACAGCCTCTATATATGCAGTCAGCAGAATGAAGGTCTGTTTTAGGACACATATCATTTCACAGGTTTATTTAACCCAGAATAACAACATTTCCCAAAATCCAGTATTCACCATCAAACACCAGTCACAGGGCCAATTCACACAGTTATTTTCCCCTGCTTCCTTTTTCTAAAGAAGATGAACGTGTCATAATGAGGCAACAAAGCAAAGTTTTTGTGACAATGGGAGTCCAGCTGATGCTCTCTGTACAGCCTTACGTTTCTTCTCTCTTATCTGTAAGTCACAAAATAACTTTCTGAAAGGGTAGTGTGCACTAACCTCTCACCTGCAAGTTGCTGCTGTGTGTCTTATGTGCACAGGTCTTCCCATTGTATTTTGTTTCCTAGCAGGAACTTCATTCACCTTCCTTCCTTCTCTGTGAATCCCAGTGGATCTTTTAGTCATTCCTGCGCCCTCAGCCTCAAAGAACAGAGTAAAGTGACCTTAAAAAGTATCAGTCAGTATTTTTGTGCCAAAGTGACCTTAGAAAGTGTCAGACAGTACCTTGCAGCAAGCTGAGTAAACTACAGCCATCGATTTTAAATTATCTGGACACAGGAGGAAAGTACTAAAAAGAAAACAAAATTTGTTATATGATTATTTTTTAATAGACTGTACTCCCCACTGAAAGAGAGTATTGTGTGCAGTATTTGCTACTTTTTAGTGATGTTAAATAGAAATAATGTATATGCCAACTCTGCCCCCACCCTCAATATCTAACTTTCCTTAATGTTCATACATATAAGGTACAGTTAAGGTACAGATTCTTCTCCTGTAGTCTCCTCTCAAAATTGTAATGGCTAGTCTGTTACAATTTGTGCTGCAACAAAACTCTGGTTTCACCTCAGATCGTATAAATCTTTCGCCCAAAACGTTGCAGTGTAGAATTCTTCTGGTCAGGGTTGCAGCTAGCTAGCCAGCCATACTCTTTTCCAGCACACTCCATTCCATTCTCCTTACTTTACCCACTTGCCTGCTGTGTTTTCTATCCCTCCCCTGCAACTGTCAGCATTCTATGGTCAGTTGGCATTCTCAATTCTCATTGGAGTGGGGGTTCTTTTGAAGGGGGATCTCCCTTTTTCTTTTTTCCGAAAGAATGTTTCTACTCCTGCAAACCTTTCCTCCTTGTGCACTGCCATATTTGTGATCCACAGCGTTAGAGCTCAAATGGATGCATAGTCCTATTTTTTTCTTTCAAGGATGTCCTTCATATGCGGCATTATGATGCAGGGGGGGCTTTTAGTTTTATTCTTGCATCAGTAGCTTTTGCTAGAACAGCTAGAACAGTTTTTCTTTACACTAACAGCAACAAATTATTATACAGTATAGACCATTGGCTCTTGTGTGCTTGATGGAAACTCCAGCTTCAGCATTGTGTAGACATGTTCTGACATTTTCTTTTAAAATGGTTATAATTTTCAAACATTCATTAAAAAGATGGTTTTCTATCTATCGGCCTACACTGCCAGGTGACTATCACACTTTGCTGGTAAAAGTTTCCACATTGTGGTGAAAAATGGAGCTGCTCCTCCTTTTAAGAAGGATATTTCATTTCCTAGAAATAGCTTTTGCTATATATTGTGTAGGTCAAACACCAGCTTGTCACCTTTCTTTCTTCTCTTTGGATTTTCATCTGTTCAGAATAGCACTTTTGTTTCCTCTTCTGTAATCCATGGACTTTTTTTTTCAAAAACATGGATGTTGCTCGCTTGAAAAACTTCAAAGCCTGTATCTCTTTAAATGCAGGTTCCATATCTTGTTCTTCCCTGTGACATCCAAGCTCTGGTTAGTTCAAATCAGGGCTGTGAAAATTGTGAGCCTCCACATGTTGTTGGAGTAGAATTCCTGTTATTCCTGACCACTGACCATGCTGGCTGGGGCTGATGAGACTTGGTGTCCAGCAACATCTGGAGGTTCCTGAATCCTTGCAGAAGCTTTCAGTCACCTCCTCTTGGGCATGGAACAGAGTAGAGAAGAGCACACAACTGAGTGAGCACAGGTCTTTTGCAAACTCATTTTTGTAGCAGGGAAGAATGATTTCCCATTATGTCTGAACTGGGCCATTGTCTTTTAGTATCACCAGATGCCACATTGGACTCAGGCTATTTGCTGTACTCAGTAAGTGACATTTTGAGCTAATTTTCAATAAGGGGGAAAAATAGAATTCCTGTGGAACTTGTGTGATGCTCCTTGAATTTTGAATTTTGAAATGCTTTTTTAAAAACCATTTAATCTGTCAAAGCAAATGTAGAACAACTATTCTTTGGGGCTTATAATTCCACTTGTATTGCTTTCAGTTACCAAAATGTAAGTGAAAGATGTACTCTGAGCTATTTAAACTAGATTTAGTATCCAATTATAATTTGCCTTAATCAAAGTGGAACAGATGTTAGCATGATGCCGATCGTGCTTGGAGTGGCATCTCGTAAACTAGGGAACTAAAAGAATTTGGGGGGGAGGGTGGAAGGAAGGCAAACAAAAGAGGCAAAATGATTTAGGGGTTAAGGGCTCTGACCATAGAGTTTGGACTTCCCTTGGGGGCTCTTTGAGGTAGGGTCTATGACACCAATTGCAGTGATCACCAGGACTTCTGCCAAGATCACCACACCACTACTTGCAATGCTTATGCACTTAGGTCTTTATTTAGCTTTCTGCTCTCCTCCTTTTACAGTTTGAAATGTTGACAGGGTCGTTGCCATTCCAGGGGAAAGACAGAAAGGAGACAATGGCTCTCATTCTCAAGTGAGTAGTAAGCTCCAACTTGTTTGTTGACGTAAAACGTGTATTCCTTTGCTTGGAATAGACAAAGTTTGCTTGGCTGTAGAGGCGGGGGAGAAATTTGATTCAGCTTTCATTTAAAGACGAACCTACCAATTCTGAAATAATCTGTGAACAGTCAGACCATTGGCACATCTGCTTCAGTACTGCCTATATGGATTGGCAGCACTTCTCCAGGATTTCAGATCGGTCCCTCCCAGCCCTATCTGGAGATGTTGGGGATTGAACCTGGGACCTTCTGCATGCAAAGCAGATGTCCCACCACTGTGCTGTGGTACAGCCCTTTCTATACGTGAGCTAGTAGTAGGGTAAATAAAATAAATAGCTGGGAGCTCTAGATCAGTAATCTGCAAATATATCAGACCCCAACCTGCAACATGGCATCCAAATTAAATTATTTATTGCGTATGTCCATTTTTCTCCTATTCCTGCTAGGGTGACTAGATGCAAAGGAGGGGAGAGTTCCTGCCATTTTATATTTAAAAGGGGGAATTACACACTTCCCATAGCCATTGTGAAGAAGAATAAGCATGGTAAAGACTATGAGGAAAGAATTAAAGAAATGTTTAATAGAGTCAGTATTATGGAACATTCTTTATCCAATATGCCTCAAGATTACTTCGGGGAACTCTATATATTTTCCCATACATATTTCCTCTGCACATCTGTATTTATTTCCACTGCTAAATATGTGTGTGATCTTTTTAGACATTTCTGAAAAGTCCTCCTACATTTTAAAAGTTTCTGTTCTTTCAGAGCCAAGCTAGGAATGCCACAGTTTTTGAGCACAGAAGCTCAGAGTTTGCTTCGAGCTCTTTTCAAGAGGAATCCATCCAACAGATTAGGTATGGGGATTCATTTCATTTCTGGTCTGTGATAAATTCAGCGATAGATTACAATCAAATGTTAATCTGTAGTTTGTTTTCCTTGTCACTTAATTTTGATTTGTTCTCATGTAAATGGCCTAGTTGAACAATGTGCTGGGAAGAGATGCAAGGTAATGGAGCTTTAATTAAATATGTGTTTTGGGCTTTTAATATGGATTGCACAAATTGTTGAAGAATTGGTTTAATAATGGCAATTAGTCATGATAGCTAAGTGTTGTCTACACATACCGAAACAGATGCTAGTTATTTCTTTCCTTATAGGAGTATTTCTAAACAGCCAGCTCATACAGAAACAATACAGCAGTGATGTACAATATAAGCATTAAAACATCAAAGAATAATAAAATTATAGAATACTGAACAAATGACCAATACTGAATCAAATTAATTCCACACCCACCCACTCTTCAGCCGATGTCACTTGTGATGCCATCTAATGAGTCACAGAGCAGAGGTAAATCCTGAGTTGGCTGTGCATGCCTGTTCCCAGTCCAGAAGGGGAGCACATAGTCAAAGTAGCAGGATTTTCCAAGACGTTTGCATAAAAGCCCTGATAAAACCTAGGAAAAAATTATTTTAGCAGTGCCTTGAAAGGTCCCAACTTCAGGACTTCAAAGCACCTCGAACCTTTGTGACATTCCATGATTGACAGGTGAGTAGCCCCGCCCACATCTAAAACTTGGCCCGCAAGGCTGATTCTGATAAGAATCTGGTGCGTGGAAACAATTAAGTTCCCTACCCAGCTCTCATAGGGACGCGGGTGGCACTGTGGGTTAAACCACAGAGCCTAGGACTTGCCGATCAGAAGTTCAGTGGTTCGAATCCCAGCGACAGGTTGAGCTCCTATTGCTTGGTCCCTGCTCCTGCCAACCTAGCAGTTTGAAAGCACATCAAAGTGCAAGTAGATAAATAGGTACCGCTCCGGCGGGAAGGCAAACGGCGTTTCCGTGTGCTGCTCTGGTTCGCCAGAAGTGGCTTAGTCATGCTGGCCACATGACCCGGAAGCTGTACGTTGGCTCCCTCGGCTAATAAAGCGAGATGAGCGCCGCAACCCCAGAGTCGGCCACGACTGAACCTACTTTTACCTTTACCTTACCCAGCTCTCACCAACTTTCAATGCCCTCTTTTTATGTGCTAGTCTCTTGCAGTAAAAATCACCACAGTCAGTGTCTTGTGGCATTTTAAAGATTAACCACATTCTTTATGGCATAAGCTTATGCCATAATCAATTTGTTAATCTTGAAGGGGCCGCAACACACACACACACACACACACACACACACACACTGCTTGCAAGAAACTTAAGCAGAAAAGGGGAAAAAATACTATAGGGAAAAGAAAAAGTGAACCTTTGTCTCTTGTAAGATTGGCCTCAGGATTATTTTTTGTAAAATTACCTAATTACCCAGTTGATTAAGGAGTTCACTGACAGCAGCATCCCAGGGGATTATGGCATCTAATTAAATTTCTTTTAGAGAGCCGAACACAGGACAGCAAGTGCAGATAGATGTGAAAACCTGCTACCGTGTCTAAGCTACATTACCAGCTTTCTGACTTGGATTCCAAATAAACATGTAAAGCTAAATTAAGTACATAATTTGATCCAATCAGAGCCGAAAAGGAAATCGGAGAGGAAAAGGAAAGATGGTTTTCCTCCGCCTTGCATCCCTAGCTGCTCAACTGCTTGAGGTGGCGTGACGAAGGCTGACTATATAGAGCATTTGATATCACACCCACCAGTCTCTCCAGTAGCGTTCTAACAGGCAGTTGTTAACTGGATTCTTGGCAGCCTGATGTGATTGCCATCTGGCTGAGCTATAGGTCTTGCATTTCTATTGATATGTAGCTGAGGAGGAAGGAAACTCTCAGATTTTGTTTGCTGGAGCTGCTACAAATACTAATATAATCTTTAAGGTAAAAGTTTTTTTTTCATAATGCACGCATGTCAGCTGCTACAGGCCATGAAAGGAAGCTTAAGTTTCTGGGATGTCACTCTGAAGACTGAAGTAAAAAGATATTCCTTTGCAGTTAGGCTGGCCTTGGATGGACTGATCCCACAGAGCTATCCTTAATGCTGTCCATCATCTTAGCCTATGTCTTCATTCTTTTTAAAGGCATTCACCCAGTGTTTCCCCCTAGGAATGTTTATCAACTTAATCAAACAGTGAGATACACGTAGAAAATATTCCAATGGAATTTAAGGCTCATGTAGATTCCTTCCTGGCCCCCCATACTAACAGTATTGTATAGGTATATTTATATACCTTTTTGTACCCTAAGGCCCCCAAACAGCATATTACATACTACAAAAGAAATATACTACAAAAGTGCAATGTAGTGCAATCGTAAGACATCCCAATCTTGCCTTGACCATGAACTTAGATGGCCTTAGGCAGGGCAAACTCTCTTACCCTTCATCCTTCCCCCTTTCCTATGTAGGATAATAATACTCACTTACCTTTTAGAGGTGTTCCAAGACTTGCAACTAGCTAATGCATGTGAAGTGCTTTCAATACTTGAAAGTGCCGGGCAAATGCTCCTGCTTCTGCTATTATCACCACCATTGACCGATCTAAAAAAAATGCATGTAGCTTTCATTGTGCATCTATCATGTATTTCCACATACAAAGCCACCAATTATCCTCTCAGGTCCTGCATTGATTCCACATAGTAGATTCAGTTCCCTTCCAGGGGTCCTTTAGATACAGTGCAGAGTGTTCCATAACTGGCTGAGGCTGGACTTGGGTCCCATCAGTGATGCAAGAGGACGTTGTCCCTTGCACCAGCAGTTGGTGTCTGGAGCTGGATCCCGCAAGTCTCTGCCTCAGCCATAGCATTGCACTGAAAAATGTTTCATATGATCATTCACACTTGTTACAGGTAGCACTGGGGTCAGATTCTGACAATGAACATTCAGAAGATGGTTAAATAAAGGAAGATTGATGATGTGGTTGAAATGCTTGCTTTGAGTGCGTAGGCGACCTACGCTTCATAAAAGTATTTGCGTTTTTGGCCTGCCAGTGTGATTCTTTCTCTGCCCACTTATTTAACTACAGCTTCTACAGAAAACCATTTGTTCTTTTCAAGTCCGCCTATAGAATTTTAACTAGTAGTCTTTCCAGGAATTACTTTGATTAGATGTTGCTGTTCAAGCACTACGTAAGTGGTAAAGCACTAACTTAAAGCATAAGAAGTTATTGACAGTGAAGGGGTCAATTACGTTAGCAGGAAACAGAAGGCGAGGGCAGAATGATTCTGTTCCTCTTACTACTACTATTATTATTGTTATTTTTAAACTCTGGTGTACAGTACTACAGCTGAAAATAAATGCTGTATACTATTTGTGCTGGTGAGAGCCCCTTGGGACATGCATTGTTTCACAGTTCCTCTGAGGCCAACTTAGCACAATTGATGCCTCAAATAGCAACCATGGAACACAAACAGCAGCACTAAAATCCATCATTGGGCGGCCCCAACTAAAGAAGAAGAAGAAGAAGAAGCCCGCTGGAATTTAAGTGCTCACATAAAAGGAGGCAAAGAAGGGACCAGACAAACCTTACTTGAAAGCCTGTTTTGGAACCACAACCAGAAAGCCGCCTCTCTTGCCCGTACCAGCCACAAATCTCTTGCTGGGGTTGGGGAGACAGTGAGAAGGTCCTCTTGGTTAGAAATGATGTTCATTTTACATCCTCTTTATTATCTCTCTTTCATTGCTTTGGCAGGTGCTGGCCTTGATGGAGTTGAAGAAATTAAGCGGCATCCTTTTTTTGCTACTATAGACTGGAATGTAAGTACTGTAATTCACATGATTGTCTTGTCTGACTAGTTACCGTAGATGTGCAGCCCAAATCCAGGATTTTCCCTTGCTCAGAACAACCTGACTCCAGCACTGCTTCCCCAGTGTGTTTGCAAGCAGGAATGCAATCCTGCATAGAGCAACTCTTTTGAACAAAAAACAAAAACCTCAACAGCTGGATTGTCTCCTACCTGTGCATTTGCACCACACAGACCTCCCTACCACATCGCCCCTCTCCTACTTCACAGTGAATCAGCTGTCAGGAGATCAAGTGAGTGCCACTGACCCCCAACACCATCCACTACTGTCTACTGCCCAATTTTGGCTACACTAAAATTCTGGGTACCTGAACTGTTTTCTGTGGGGCAATAATCACTCCTCCACTAAGAGAGGCCAAAACTGTCTAGACAGTACACATATCACTCTAACCTTCTCTTTCTCTAATAGGCTAGATCTGCTTTTGTAGATGTCAGTCACTGCTACAATTCATTCATTGCCTCAAAATACAGAAAGGCTCAAGTCCTCTTCTTTCTCATAAAACAGATGAGAATAGTGCCTGCATGTTTTGCTTTATATCACAGGTAGGGATCTGAAGGGCCGGGGGGGGGGGCACAGCAAAATTCAGGTGGAAAAAAAACACTTGAGGACAAGCAAGAGCAGTATATATTTCTGCCTCTTGGAGGGCATTGCCATTGTCATAAGAGAAGAAAAAAAGGATCCAGTGTCTTCTTTGCTTGTGGCGTTACTCTTGCTGGCATGGTTGGAGTATCTGTTTCTGTCCTCTTGTCTAGTATAGAACTACATAATTTTGTTTCCATCCAATCTGTGCTTCTGCAAATTTGTTGGGTCCAAGATTTAAAGGCAGACATGTAAGTGATGATAGCACTGCTTCTGCATTTGACTAGATTACGAAACAAGCAGCACCCTTAGGGCTTGTTGTTGGAAAGTACAGAATGTTGCAGAGTACAGAACATCTTCAGGTATTTGGCCAAGGAACACAGTCTGGGATTCTGCCAATTATAACCCTCCTGCAACACCATTGCAAGGCCCTCGCACAGCACAATCTCTGACTCATCTTACTTCTTTCCTACTTCAGATTCCTCCACCTTCTGCAGCATGAGAAAGAAATTGGTCTATTTTTGGAAATACATCAAATCAAGCAATAAATTGACATGTGGATGGGTGGAATTTTCAATCAGGCCAAACCTTTGGTTTTTAGAGGTCCATGATAAATGTGATGGCAAATATAAAAAAACAGGAATGGTTAGCTTAGAGGAAGAGACCAACTGAATTTCTTGTAGTGTTCATTGAGTCTTGCCTCCCCTCCCCTTTTCCTCAACTCTTTTTATGTCAACTTATCATTGTGGAGGACTGGAGAAGACAGTAATTTTTAGAAGAAGTAATGATTTGTTTTACTATAATATCGATAGTTTCTGCTATCAATTTCTTCTATTCTTTTTTATTATAATATTGATAGTTTCTGATAGTTATGGCTGCTTCTCATAAACTGGCAAAACCAAAAATATGCTATGTTCCTTACAATTCAGCAGCTTGTAATGCCACTTGTAATAAAAACTTAAAATATTTATTTATTAAATTTCTAGACCACCCTTCTTCTGAGCATTACAGGGCAGTTTACAAAATAAAAACTCACAAATACTCAACATAACAACAAACAAAACAATAACCCACACAGTTTAAAAGGCCATAGATTACTTAATTAGCCAAAGGCCTATGAGAAGAGGAATGTGTTTTTTTCCTGGTGCCTAAAATATAATTCAATTTGTAATCATTGTTTGAGTAAACTGTACTTTTAATATACCAAAAAATATATTCTGTGGTAAACCAAGTTATACATAATGTATTTTATGTTCCTAAAGTAACAAAGTGACTTGTAATATGTAGAGAGTACTTTTTTAAAATAGAAAGTATGGCATTTTTGCCAATTAATTCTGTTCTTTTCTGAAACCTCTAACAGGGGGGAAACACCAATTCCACCCCCTCTTCCAACCTGGTTTCAAAATTTCTTAGAAATTTACATTTCTAATCTCAAGTTATACAACTGCTAGACAGCTACTTTTTAATGAAAGAAAGCTACACATCTGGGGGCTGTGGATCATCTGGGAAGGGGACTGCTCCCCCCCCCCAGACACCAATGAATAAATGTAATTGAAATGTGAGAGACTAATTTCCACATAATGAGCATATAGTTCAGATATAGTTTTTCTGGATTCAACCCAACATAATTATGCATGGGATTTTAATGTTACTATTTCAGCCTGGTTGTCTAAGGCTGTTCTTCCTAGCCATAGACTGGCAATGCCACTATTTGCAAGGGACATTTCAGGGGCGGGTGGGGGTTGAGTGTAGCTTTTAAAAGCCCAGTAGCAGCAGATGGTCTGTTTGACTTGATGGTTTTCTGAATATGAACCAGCATGAGTTCTGAACGGAAGCTAGTCCTTGATGTCTTATAATGATGCTTCCAGCTGCTGAAAACGCCTTTGTGGCTAGAGAAGAGGAATAGAGCTAATGCAGGTGCTTTGTTCTCATCGCTGTTATTACTGGGAAAGGTCAGCAATGAGCTCAGTTTTGTTCCATGATCACACACTTTTTAGTCTTTCTTATACCTCTTGCCCATTCAGCACACATGGTATGAATATTGATATATTTTATTTATGGAGAAGAAAAACTTCCTTACATTCGCTGCTGGATATGATCCAAAGTATTCAGACTGCTTTTCATTAAATACTAATAAGAAAAGTAAAGACAGTCTAATTACCTATGCCACATTATTCTTATAATATTTTCCCTTCACATTTGATGGAAGCATTGTTTCGGAATAAAAACACCACACCACAGTTCCCATTACTAATTATAAGTAGGTATTTAAGGCTGCCAACTAATTAAATGTTCTGTATTTTAAAAAGCCAATAATTTAATAAAAATAGCTATTAAATATTACAAATATACACCTTGTATTTTGAGAATGTCTCAACAGACATTTATATCCCACCTTTTCTCCAGACATGGACTTAAGGCACAGATAAAATACAAAAGGGTAAAACATATAAAAGATACTGTAATGATTAAAACAATTTAAAAAACAACATTATCACTGGACATTGCACTCACCAGCTCAAATCCCATTAAAATCTAGAGCTACAAGTGTTTCTCTCCCACCTTCCAAATCCTTATGCACCCCAGCTTGGCCTAATAATAAACTTCTGGTTGTTAATTACTCTGCCTTAATTGCATCCAGCCAGGGTGAGTCTGCATTGTGGCATCTCCTCTATGGGAATAAAGCAAGTTTTGGAAATGTCCAGTTAAAAAAATTAAGATGTGCTGAAGCTGCCCCTTGTCTTGTGAGGTCACCCTGCCTACAACAACTTCATTACTTGTCGTCATCCATCCTCTGTGTATATGGACCAGCAGAGGCTGAAGACTCACAAACAGAGTGGTCAGATACCATTGATGAATTCATCTGACCGTTAAACAAAGCCAGTTGGCTGTCATGCCCCCAAGTGCAAAGACTCCAAAGGAGAAGGGTTTTGTTTTTATCCAGTTCTTCTGCCTAAGAAATATATTCATCAAAAACATCAACTGAATTTAAAAATAGAAATGAGCTATGTGTGCCTATTAACATAGAAATGGAAAAGTGATTCATAGATCTAAAGTGATGCCCTTTTTTGGCATCTCCTGACAGTATCGCTTTGTCAGTGCAACGGTTCAGACTCGATAATGTTCCCGAAGATAATTCATCCCTGTGTCTACTTACTGGATTGTGTGTTCATGTTCCTGTGTAGCAAGTGTATAATAGTTCAGGGAAATCATTCCTTCATCCCTGTGCAGAGCAGCTTTTTCGCGTTGCTGTGCGTCACTAGCTGTAGTGCTGCCTTTCTATTTCTGGAAGGTATCTGGAGATCAGCTCAGTTTCTCATCAAAGTCATTAGCTCTGTGAATACATTCAAATAGTCTGGAAATGGACAATCTTAGAGAAGGGTTCATAAGGCTGTGCCTGTTCTCTCTCCCCTCTCCCCATTGGAACTTGTGCACCTGAGCCCTTTGGACAAGCATTTGTTCTGGATTGATGGAACATACATTACAAACATGGAACATACAAATGGCTCATTCAGTGCACTATTTGGACAAAGGTACATATGCATAGCTCTCTGTGAACAGGTTTCCATTAACGAATGGAACACGGTCAGCAGGTGGAATCTTCTGCCGTCATCCCCATGCAATCATTTCTATGCTGTGTGAACATCTGCACCGTGCTATTCATTGCAGGAAATGACTAAATAATGCTTAATTCAATTAAATGAGTGCCCTTCCAGATGATGACTGCCAGATGCATATAGAACGTGTGTTTACATCTGCCTCCCTCATTTTTCTACCTATTTTTAAAAAGGAAATTCTGTTACACAAAGCATTCATATCTTCACAAATAATGGCAATGATGCCTTAACATGTGACTCATGGTCACTTCCTTATTCTTCTTTGTGGTACATTATATGGATCCCAGGAGAACGAGTCCTCTGTTAAGTTTACGTTGAAGTCCTGGGCAGAGTTATTGGAAACACACAACAGCAGCAAGAAGCAAAGCTCTGTGCGAGGAAATGTGTAAAAGAGAGTTTGAGAAAGCAACGTTGCAAATGGCATCAGAATCTAGTCAAAACAAAGAAAACTGTGACAGGAATATTGGCCTGATATGAAACAATATCAATAAGTACAACAAACAAGTGAAGTTGGAATCAAAGATGAATTAAAAAAATTAACTTTCTGAGAAATAAACAGACACCCCATACCCCTCTTCCATTTTAAATATGTGTTCACAAGTCTGCTTTGAAGCATTTTTAAAATCAACTTTTAAACAACTCTTACCTCATTCACCCAAGAGGGACACGGGTGGCGCTGTGGGTAAAACCTCAGCGCCTAGGACTTGCCGATCGCATGGTCGGCGGTTCGAGTCCCCGCGGCGGGGTGCGCTCCCGTCGTTCGGTCCCAGCGCCTGCCAACCTAGCAGTTCGAAAGCACCTCCGGGTGCAAGTAGATAAATAGGGACCGCTTACCAGCGGGAAGGTAAACGGCGTTCCGTGTGCTGCGCTGGCTCGCCAGATGCAGCTTGTCACACTGGCCACGTGACCCGGAAGTGTCTGCGGACAGCGCTGGCTCCCAGCCTATAGAGTGAGATGAGCGCACAACCCTAGAGTCTGGCAAGACTGGCCCGAACGGGCAGGGGTACCTTTACCTTTACCTCATTCACCACATTAGGATTTGCAGTGCCTATCTATTTCCTGCACATGGGATCACCCATTGACACTCTCTCTTTCTCTCTGCCTTTTTCTTGCACAATATAAATAAACAAATAAACAGCCCCTCACATTCTTGAGTGTGATTACATGTGCATCAAACAGATGGTTGCTTGCTTGCTTGTCACAGTCTTCACAGTGCCAGTCACTTGTTAAGGAAGGAAAGGTCTTACTGCAGACCTCCACGTTGCCTTTTCCCTCCTCTAGTACGTAGTCTGCAGTGTTAAAGCTGGCCATCTGCCTGGCACTGTGCAAAGAGACAAACACGTGTCAGCTCTGTGTGGAAGGAGCTGCACTTTGAACCCTTACCTCATTTGTCCTCACAGCAATTTTGTGTAAGGTAAATCAGTTATCGTTCCCATTTAAAGCAAGACTCCACCCAGGGCTGACAATCCCAGAAACCCCTTAGTGGTTGTTTTCATACATTGCATCATGGCACATTATGACACAAATACCGGTACCTCATTTGACTTGTGTGATACTGCTAAGCATAGAGTAAATAGATGTTTAGGTAATAGAATATTTCAAGGGTGATCTTCCCACCTTTTCCTAGGCTTAGCACTGAACATAATTTCCTAAACACAAGATGCAATGTGTGTATTACAATACCACCCTATGCATGTATGCTTGAAAGTATGGCCCATTGTGTTCGATAGGGCTTATTCCCAGGTAAGTGTGTATAGGACTGTAGCATGAGCGTAGCCAGGATTTATTTTTGGGGGTAGGCTTTATGTTGGAGAGACAGAACCGAGTTTATCTGTGATACAATTGGTCAGTTAAGTATTTTTATTTATTTACTTGCCCTCCCTGGCTACATCTGTGGACTGTAGCCTAATATATCCTTCCTGTGTTTTTGTTATTTTATGTAATCTTGTTGGCAATTATTTTAATCCATCATTTGTGGTGGTGGTTGTTTTGCAGAAGTTGTACAGGAAAGAAATCATGCCGCCTTTTAAACCTGCTGTGGGACGGCCAGAGGACACCTTTCATTTCGACCCTGAATTCACTTCACGGACACCAACAGGTAACCAGGAATAGCAGCAAAAGAAATAAAATAAACAAAATCAATGGAAAAGATCATTATGAAATTTTTTTATTCAATCTATGAATCACTTCCCGTAAAATATCTTGAAGCGATGTCACATTTAAAACAACAGCAATAAAAGGATTTTTTTATTCCATATGTAGAAACAAAAACAATTCCATATGTAAAAAGAATCCCATATTCAAACCATTTAAAACAAGTTCATATGCAAAAGTCAGTTTCAAATCCAGTACATATACAACATGGGATAGGGCCGGCCGGTAGTCCTTTGTAGGTTCTTAATGCAAACCATGAAATTTAATGCTGACACAGAATGTCTAGCTATATTTTAAAAGAAGCCTTCCTCCCCTTTCTTAATCCACAGCTAGACACCCCTCTTTTGAAACAATAAAAAATAACTTTCTATGAACATTATGAACCAGGTGATCCTGGGGGGAAAGGATGCCAATCCAGATAGTTTTTCATACAGTTTTGACTTAGTTCTCTGTAACTTAAATTTTCTGGCTTTTCCAAGAGCCAATAATCAGTTATACAGATACATTGTTCTTCCACAGGTGTCTCCTGCATTATATATACTATAACACCACAGCTTCCTATGGCAACTAGACTACACATCGCTGGAAATATTAGAGCTCTAAGCCAAAACCTAATAAAACACCAGCCTTTTTTCCCCTTCCAGATTTGCAGCAAGGCGAGGGGTGCAGATGAGTGAGAGAGTGTTATGCTTTGACCCACCCTATTCATATCTTTCTGTTTCCTCCCCGCATAAGATTCTGACATATAGTAATAGCACCTCAGAAATGGCTCCTTTCTGTCCCAAGCTAAAACCAAATTAGCTCATTCACTGCAGAGTTCTCAAATTGCTGTAGTCAGTCATCGCTCTTATAAACCTGAGGCAATTTCTCAGTTATAGAGATCAGGTTAGTGGTGAGCTTTTGCATTTCTCTGGCAGTGTGGTTGCTGCGGCAGCAATGTTCCTTTCTATGCCTCCAGCATTTTGTGAAATGACCAGATTACATGGAAGGAGTCCATACTGTGATATTTTCCTACACCAGTTTGGCTCTATAAAATCTGGAGTAAATACTAGCATGGACAGAAACTGTAGTGTGGACAAGAATTTTCCAACACACCTGCATCTATTCAGAAATCCAGGGAAATGGGAGAGTGGTAAAGTCTTCAGGTGATTGGATGACATAGGCTAGGTTCACATTACCGGATTAAAATGCAGCTCCGTTCTTTTCCCCCCGATTCAGTTGGAAGCTGATTTAGGGAGAAACACATCAGAATGTACTATTTCATTTAAAAATGGACAGGAAAGGTGTGGCTTTTTGGTTAACATCATGTGTACACTGCTTCCAAACCAGCAAGAGTAAACAAGAGTGTGTGCACAGCCACAAACTGCCATCTCCAGCCCGGCTAACTGACTGCCTAAATAAATGGCTGCTTGGTCATCATTTTTCACCTTCAGTTTGTGTCCACACTGGTGCAAATCAACAGATTGGCTCAGGCTTCTTCAAACTCGGCTCTCCAGATGTTTTGAGACTACAATTCCCATCATCCCTGACCACTGGTCCTGCTAGCTTGGGATCATGGGAGTTGTAGGCCAAACATCTGGAGGGCCAAGTTTGAGGAAGCCTGGATTAGCTGGATATCAATTGTGTACTGTTGTGGTGCAAACCAGTTCTGCAATCTGCACAGCAGAAAGAAGAAAGAAGAAAATGGTCTCAATAACCAATGTTCTAGCATCTAAAGCTTAAAGGAGAGTTGCTGGCATGGGCTCATCTTGCAATATGCTGCTCCCAATTCTAAAAGTAATTTTGTACCTCGGCTCCTCGTCCCACCATTCACCTATGTTCACACTGCCACTCCTGAAAATACAGAGACGCTTTATGTTTATGTAAAGGTGGACTGGAAGAGTTTGGCATATCTAGGGCAGAGTGAGGCAGCTGCCCCAGGTAGGAGATGCTCACAGGTGAGGAGCAGACAGAGCTTGTGTGCCACACATATGGTCTGCACCACTAAGGTAGCCTGCTATCAGCTGGGTCAACTTTTTTAATTGGATTGTTTCTTTACAGCATTGGTAGGACCTGCATTGTAGCACTCTAATTTCCTGAAGGAAATATTGTTACTCTCTTTGTATTGGCTTGGATCCCCAATCGTCCCTTGAATCATATCTCACTCCTCTGCAGATTCCCCAGGCTCCCTCAAGTGCCAATGCTCATAAATCTCTTCAGGCGATTCAGCTTCGTTGCATCCAACTTGGTGCAGGAGCCTCCACAGCAAGATGTCCCACAAAATCACAGTTCACCCATTGTCCAGGTAAGGCTGCATCTGGTGAAAGTGTGTATGGTCACTGGGAGGCTGATGGCAGTCTGCCATATTTGCAAATATCCAGGGTGAACACAGTTGACCCTTACTAATGTTAGACACAAGCCCAAAGCACAATATTTTTCAACAGGCTGGACATTAGTGTTAGGCCTATTCCTTAGTATTGTATACATTTTCCTGAATTGTGATAGTCCTATTTGACAGAAATCATGATGCAAGTTGAAATCATAAATGCAATCTCAAGAAGCTAGCAGTACTCCTGTTAGGTTTTCTTCTTAGTCACTAGGAACCCAGACTTCTACCTGAAATGCTGTGGTGCTTGCCTGCCTTCAGTGTGATGTATTGCATGTATGCAATATATAATGACACTTTCATTAGCCAAATTTGGTAGAATTATTAAACACCAGAAAAATGGCAGGCGATGTTTATATCGGAAGGAGAACTTGCATATTGCAAGGACCCCTGAGAAGCTCAGTGCTTCTCTTTCATGTTCTGCACAGAGACCTATTGGATGCCCCTGCAGGCAAGCCTCTCAGCATCAAGAATGACAAGTAGGCAGCCGCGAGCAGTGTCTCAAATGTTTTGTGCCATAGGATTTAAGGGCAGCAATTCACTTATATGAGAGAAGAAAGAAAGAAAGAGATTTCAAGGGTGCTTTGGGGAAAGAACAAACTGGTTTCCTCCAGCATTAAAAATTAAGCCCACTCCTATACTCCTATATACAGCTTCCAAAAAGCCCCGTTGCACTTCAAACCACAATAAACAGATAAACCCATAACTAGAAAAAAGCTTTAAAAGTATTGAAACACCTGCAGAACAAAATGTCTTCATTGCTTCCCTAAAGGACAAGAGGTAAGGGGCTAGTCTAATCTCTCTTGTGAGGAGTTCCACAATTAAGGCACTACACCAAAAAGTCCCAACCAATTGCACCTGCTTTTGGAGAGGATAACAGTGCAGAGCCACAACAATGTTTGCAGCTGATGGTTAGATTCATGCAGGAGGGTCAATCCTCCAAATGTCTTCAGAGCCCTGCCCTGAAGTTCTGTTTCTTAGATGTACAGTGGTACCTCGGGTTAAGAACTTAATTCGTTCCAGAGGTCCGTTCTTAACCTGAAACGGTTCTTAACCTGAGGTGCGCTTTCGCTAATGGGGCCTCCTGCTGCGTGCGATTTCCGTTTTTATCCTGGCACAGTTCTTAACCTGGAGCAACCACTTCCTGGTTAGCGGAATTGTAACCCAATGTGTCTGCAACCTGAAGCATCTGTGCAACCGAGGTACCACTGTAAACTTTCATTCTAGCACATTTTCCTTTTTCTTTTCTTTTTTTAAAATAAGTTTAGCTCAGTGCAGTGCATTCTGCTTCTCCAAGAAAACTGGAATAAACTTGTAAACTGCTTCATATTTATAGCATGAACCAGAAACAGAAAAAAAAAGTTCAGGTTAGGACACCTGTAAATCAATGCAGAAGTCTCTCTCTCTCTCTCTCTCTCTCTCTCTCTC